TATATAAGCAAAATAAAGTTGTACAAATATCTATAACAAATATATTGCCTACAAGGCTTTTGCAACGTTACAAAATTAATACAATTTCTAAAGTTTTATTAATCACTTCATTCTCCGTTGAGCTAAAGAGCTACTTGTCTTGTCCACCCCTATATATTTGCAATCCTATATTTTATATTGTATTTGTAATGTTTAATACAGGATGAAGTGATAGGCCTATATACTAATAAAATTTTACAGAATGTAATTATGGTGGCAATAAAGGATTAGTACAATTCCATATCTAACTATTTGATTATTTTGCTTTGTAATTGTATTTACTCAGGTAAACTGCGTACTGCCAACCAGAGACTGACCATATTGTCATGCTGTACGGTAAAATGAAAAATCATCAGTAAGAACGTTATCAATTTACTGAATAATAGAAATTTCATAGACCTAAGTTCAGGTAAGTTTTTGTACGATATCTATTTTCTTTTGGAAAAGCTCCTTTTACCTCAACCAATAAGGTGTTTTGTTACAATTGATCTATAATGTTGGTTCTTTATAAACAAGTTTTCAAAATTCTCCTCAGTTGGAGTAAGATCTGCAAATTCTAAACACAGAATGATAAAATAGGCCTATGACAACGAAAGATCTAGATTTACCTGCTTGCAATTAAATTAGTCACCACCACCACTACAGCCACCACCACCACCACCATCACAACCACCACCACCATCACAACCACCACCACCGCCGCCACATCCACCACCGCCACTGCCATCAAAGCCACTTCCACTATCAAAACCAACACCAGGGCCATGAAAACCGCCCATGTCGAAATTCCTACGAATCCGATATACTGAAAGAATAAAAGAAATTAAATCCATGCAATTACAGACATAGTACATATACTTATATGTATAATAGTTATGAAATTGGTAATATTATGTACAATAGTAATATATATATATATATATATATATATATATATATATAGTAAATATATAACAAAACATCATAACAGTCAACCATGTGAATACATTAAATATTTTGATATAAGAAACTCACATCTTTGACGACGATCACCACTAACACTTTCTGAAACAGCGGATGAAATCAAACACAAACATAAGTCAACATTTTGTCAAACAATCCAATGCAAATCCTAGTATATTTATAAGCTACAGTGCGTAAATGTTTCCAATAAGCGAGTAAACGAGCTTACGAGAAAGGTACCCCAATGACATAGTGGGTGGGGGAGATGCCATATTAATGTAGAGGATGCTTGAATTAACCCAATAAGGGTGTGGGCCTGAGGTCGGCTTGAACCCCGGTAGGTGGGGGACCAAGAGTGAAATACCGGAGCCCATCGAGGAGGAAGATTTCGCTGACGGGAGCACAAGTGGGTGGGGCCAGATGCAGCGAAGTACACCTCAGAGTATTTGAAAGGGTGTTTTTATTCGATTTTAGAGTCTCTCATCGAATTTTTATCTCCACTGGTGCCACTAGCATAGCTCACCATAAACAGTACCCAGTAAATATTTAATTGCAAGTCTGTCAAACTTACTACAGCATAAATAGAATACACCAATTAGTATACACACTGGCACGAAAGAGTATAAAAGAATGCCACCTATAAGGTAAAATAAAATCCACAATTAAACATTTTCAATGACTAAAAAATGCATAGTATTGACTTAGTAATTATTATAATAATTGTGATGGTACAATAATTTATATTTTGATAGACCAAAAATGACTCATTACACCTTGTTATAAAAGCAGTAACAAATTGTTTTGGGTTTTTTTTACCTTAATAAAATTATTACAAAAATGTTGTACTTTAAGGTGACTATTAACTCGCCAAAAATATTGAAAGATAAATTATACTATTTTTAGCATTATTAGAAATAATTATCAAAGCAAATTCGATTTTATTATACTAAAAATACGAAAGTTTTGATATTCAACACCACAGAACTAAAGGGCGGGAGTCGTTGATAATATAAAATTTAGAGGCACACATTCTATCATTGGTTACATCATGGACCTATTAATAGGTCAATGAACATAAAACTTTTTGCTAGGAATTTACTTGGGTTGGTTGAGATGTTTCTTTCTAGTACGATAGGTACTATGGAAATGGTGACCGGGCGCGACCTTGGACCCAAAAAGGGCCCCAGTCACAGAAAGCCACTTGTCTCCCGGCCCCTGAGTTACACCGCTGATGTTGACTAATTGTTCTAATCCTAGCCTTAACGAAAAGGAACCGTTACAATTATCTTGGTATCTTTATTTAAAAAAAATGTCCTCGCAGTTACCAATAAAGAATGTTGACGTTATGTTACAAGATCTCATTAACGTATTAAATAATAATACAGTTATTATAGATAACATCAAAATATAATTAATAACTAATAATATATAATATCAAAATACAATAAAAACTGTCAATAAGATATACATTAAAATGTTTACAAAAAATATGTTTTTTAAATATTTAAAAATTCTTCACAATTTAGTGTTGAACAGTGATATAATAAATAAATTCGATAGTTTTTAATAATACAAATGATGATGGATAAAAATCAATATAAAGTTTACTTTGTAAGGAGGTACTCACTAATTTCACCCATTGTTAAATGTGTCTAAAATATTACCTGAAACATTAAAGAAAATGAATGTATTACATTTTAATTAGATAGGGTTACAGAAAATTTACGTTCAATTCGATTGCGAACTCCGGAATGTTTCTTTTGTTCAATAATTTACACAGAGGCGTGGTAGTGTAGAAGCTAAAAAAAATCACAATATGAAAATTAAATAAAATATATAATATTAATGATCAACATTAAATATAAACTATATATATAAACTATATATATATATATAATTTTTAAAAATTGCCTTGGTTTGGCTCTGTAATCATTAGTGGTCGTGGGACTAGTTTTGGCCCTACCTAAGCTGGTCGAACGTTTCGTTTGGGTCTGTACCCTAG